GGTTTACAAGTAAATTAGTGGGTGGCATGGTGGGACAGGGGTTAGCAGCACTGACCTGAGCAGTTGTCTGTGTGGAGTTTGTATGTTCTCCCTTAGTTTATATTGGTTTCCTCCCCCAGTCCAAAGGCATACTGGTAGGTTAATTGGCTTCTGGGAAACTGGGCCCTGGTGTGAGTGTATCTGCACTGTACCGCACTGAGGGGTTTGCCTTGTCAAGCACGTTTGAAATGCTTTGTGGGAGCAGAGAAATACTTTTGAACGTTGACCAGGACCATCAGGTCTTTACTGAACGAAGAATTTATTCATATTTCACACCTGAAGAAGGCTCTATAGCCGAAACGTGTTTGTGTTTCTTTTTTTCTCGTTTCAGCTGGAATAAACCTTTACTTGTTCTTTTACAGCCTATGTATGCTGATGCAGCTCCCTACTTGAGTTTATTCATATTTACTTTAACGTCACTCTGTGTAGATATAATAGCGGTTTCTAAATTGTGCACCTTGCTATGTGCCCACCAGTCTCCGCCTCATCACCGCACTCCTGCGCTGGACGAAGCGCTTATTGAACTTGGATAAATAATCAGTACGTCATGATTGCTCTGCCTTTCAGTAGGGCTTTGTGAATATCGCGCTCGCAGTTGGAAGCAAACGAGTCTGGTTTTCTTCCGTAAATCGGCAGCGAGAGAATACGTGTCTCACTCGTCGGCCCCCGTGCTGGTGAGGAGACCCGGCGCAGAACCGCCTGCCCCCGGTGTTGCTCTGGCGTCGCTCCCCGGGCTTGAATCCCCCGCTTCTCCGGCCGGGACGTCATTTCCAGGTGCCTTTGCGTGTGTGGGCAAGGAGAGGGGGGAGAGAGGGAATATAACGGGAGACGGGGAGAGCGGCTGGAAGGGCTTGCTTGTGAATTAATTCGCTCAAGGAAGAAGATAATACTGGTACAACTCTGACACCGTCGCCGGAATCCATTGCGACTAGTCCCACCTGAGGTCGAGGGGCAGAGCGGAGGCGAGCCGAAAACACAGGCGAGCAACTCCGTGCCAGGATGCAGAGGGATAGGCGGCGGGCCTGCTGGCGCTCTGGCGGCGGCTGCAGCCGCGGTGTGTACCGGGCGAGGGCCCCGGGCTCGCTGGGGCCCAGGCGGGCACCGCTGCTCCTCCTGTCGGCGCTGTTCGTCTTCGTGGCCGGGCTTCCTGCTCCGTGCGAGGGGAAGGAGTGCGACAAGCCCTGCCTGAACGGGCAGTGCAGCACGGCCGTGGGATACTGCCAGTGCGACCCCGGCTGGGTGGGGGACCAGTGCCAGCACTGCGGGGGCAGATTCAGGTAAGCCCGGGGAGTGGGGAGTGGGGGCTGGGGGTCGGCTTGCGGGAGCTGCTGTCGTGGGGCAGGACGGCGTTTGTTTTTTCTCGTGGGGCGATGAAGTGCAGCCGGTAGTCGCAGAGGGACTTGAGTGCGGAAGTCTGGCTCCCAGACGTGCAGCACTGCACACACTGTGCTCTGGGGGTCCACAGTGTGTGATCACATTACGATGAACACATGAGCAGGCACAGGCAGCGGGGCCGGTACCGGCCCGGTCGCGATCCGTTCTCTTGGCTTTGTGGCGGACTCCCTGGAAAAGCTGGGCTGGGTGAGCTGGCCTTCCGAGGGTCCTGGCTCCGGGAGAAACATGAGCACATGAGCAAGTTGTGGAACAGCGTCACCGGTGTCCTGTCACCTGGCGACCTGTGATGCGCTCGGGCGGCACTGCGGCGTCTCAAGCCTTGCTTGTCCTCACGCTGCCGAGACGAGTACAGCGGTACTGTCGCTTTGTGTCTTCATGACTTCGCGCTGTGCACCCCGCAGGCCGGCCCAGGGACCCAGGGCAGTTCACCTCGTAACGCCCTTCCCCGCTCTGGACATCTGCCTGCAGGGTTTCAGTGGGGGAATTATATCCCAGCTAAATAAATGTCATTTTTCAGCTGCTGATAGTGCGTAATAATAATAATAATAAACTTTATTTTATATAGCGCCTTTAAAGGTGGCTTCTCAAAGCGCTTTACAGGATGACAATAACAATAAATAAGAAGACTACAACAATAAATAAGAAAATTTCACAAGACAGGACACAATTATAATTACAACAATACAACAATAACAATAGAGGGCAGACAGATGCTCAGGAGCTGCATGGGGTCCCGGGACACAGTAGTGTTGGAGCTGCAGGATTTCATTACAGAGAGTGTTCAGTCTGCATCGGCATTGATCAAGCCCTCGCCGGTGTACTTGAGGGTGCTTTCCAAGGAAATCTACCTCTGGTGTCTGAAATGTGGATTTTTGCTTAATTCTTGGCAGTCGTAATACCCAGTAATTGCAGGCCCATCATTAGTCTTCAGAAGTTCAGCTCTTTGTTCTGTAGAAAACATTTCATTGTTCCTGCCTTCAGAGAGCGAAATCTCAAATGGGGCTGAAAGTCTGTCTGGTGTAGGGGCTGCTCTCCTGGGTTTCCATGGGTGACCATCTGGGCAGAGGAGGCGAAACTGTTGAAGTTGTGCCTGGTGAGATGTGGTCACCTCAGAAAGGCAGCTCTCCAAGTGGACTGGTCACTAAAGAGAGCACACCTCTCAGGACTGCCTGCCCTTCTGTTTGGTGTGGTGTTTAACAAAGAAGAATCTAGGCAAAAATGACATAGCGAAGAAATAAATCTCTGGGATGGTTGACCTAAAGATCTCATCCAGCTGTTTTCCTTAAAGAAACCAGGGCCTCAGCTTCAACAACAAGGGTGAGTAGCTTGTTCTAGACTCCCACAACCCTTTGTGTAAAGAAGCGCCTCCTGTTCAGTTTTAATTGCACTTCCTTGTAGTTTCCCCTTATTCTCTGGGCTGTTTTGCTGTTTGTTCTGAAGTCGCCTGGGTTGGCTGTGTCAAGGCCTGTGAGGTTTTTGAATACTTGTATCAAGTCCCCTCATTTTCTTCTCTGTTCAGGACTGAAAAGCATTGGGCTTTGCCTTAAACCCCAGAAAGTATCTGGTTGCTCTCTGGACAGATTCCAGAGGAATGGTATTTTCTCTGTTACAGGGTGACGAAAATTGTAGACCATGTTCATAAGGAGGTATTATTAGTGTGTTATACAACTTTAACACATCATCCCTCAATTTAAATTCTAAGATTTATACTATGTAGCTGAATATATTGCTTGCCCAAAGTCTTGTAGATATAGCCTAGATAATAGTAGTTCAGTAGCCTAGATAATGTCAACATAAAGTCCTGTTTTTTGATAAGTAATCTCTCCAATATCAGCATTTCCTGTTTTGTATCTAGCTTGTAGATTTCTTTACCTCCACGTGATGCTCTGCACTTTAATGTCTCCCAGTTTGCTTGAGTTTTGTGTTTTTTTTATTTTTATTTTTGATTTGGTGTTTTTGCCCTGTCATCCTCACTCTCCTGATTGTATGAAAAGACAAGATCAATACCTGCATTTTTTTGCAGCTGGTCTGACAAACTGGGTGACAGAGCACATGTTAACCTTATGTATCATTTCCGTTTCTGTTGCTGACATTCCTTTAAGTTTTTCCAGTCTGTTTTCAAAACTTCTTTGAATATTAATTTCAGGAGATGGTCATAAATTCTCATCAATGGTGGTCTACACCTGTAATGGTGCTCCTTTCGCCAGTTCCTCTAGCCTGTAGGTGCCGTCCTGCGTGTTGACTCCACTGTGTGTACGGTGTGCTGGGTGTGCAAGACCCCGCAGAACCCTCTGCAGTCTGAGAGAAGAGCAGACTCTGTTTTTCTGCCTTTAAAACTGTAGTTCAGCAGAGTAATTTTCACGGCAGTGTCTCCACTAGCCTTCTGCGGTGATGGATACTTTATTCTTTTGTCACACATAGGTTTTTGCTCTTTTCTACATCTTTGTATGGTGATCTTTTTTTTCAGAAATGGGTTTTTCACCCTCCCTGTCTAGGGTCAAATGTACAAGCCCAGTCTAGTCCTAAATGACTAAATATAAAAGGGAGGAGCAGAGCCATGTAGCTCTTCCTAAGGTCAGTGGAGCAAGAGAACATTTTCAATTCCAATTCCAATTGAATTTCAGTTCCTGGAAGAGCGGCACTGTGGCCCTGGGTTTGATTTCTGGGGTGCTGCCTGTGTGGAGTTTGCATGTTCTCCTTGTGTTCATGTGGTTTTCCCACTGGGTTCTCTGTTTCCTCCCACAGTCCAGAGACATGCTGGGAAGTTAATTAGCCTCTGGGAAAATTGACCCTGGTGTGAGTTTGTGTCTGTGTGTCCGTCCGACCAGCAGTGGGCTGCTGTCCTGTCCAGGGCATAGCCTGCCTTGTACCCTGTGCATGCTGGAAAAGGCTCCTGCTCCCCTGTGACCATGTGCTGGATGGAGTTAGAAGAAATGGCTGAATTTCCATCAGAGGAAGCTGCTGGAGTGTTCGAATGTGACCCCTGGCTGGTGTAACAGTGGAATGCCAGCTGTGCTGTAAGGTGCTAGGTTGAATGAATGGGGTTTAATTAACAAATAATTTAATTGCTCTGCTGGAGGAAGAGGATCGGGCACCTGGGGGGTGGGGGTGGTAGCAGTGACAGGTTGAGGGTGGGGCACGCAGTCTGAAGTGAGGACTGAGGAGGGGGTGGATGAGCCAAGCATCTGCATCCCAAGAAAAGGCTTGGAGTGACCAGCCTGTTCTCCAGGATGGCCAGGATTGTGTACGGAGGTGGCCTGTAGCCAGTGGAGGGCAGGGCCTGTCTGTTTGATCTCAACAACTGTTATCTGTTCGATCTTCTCACATTCTTGTGTGAATGTTGCAGTGAGGAAGCGGAGGAAGTTGCAACGTGAGTGTGTTTCTGGTTGTGCGGTTTTCTTTTATAAAAGCTCAGTCTGCCCAGTGTTTTTTGAACTGGAGATTTAATTTATAACAATATCAGATCGTATATAAGATTAACCTTGACCTCTTTCTATTTTTTAAATTCTATTTTATTTTTTCTACTGAAGAGGGTTCAATGTAGTTTAGCGGGTAAGTCCTTGGACTCCCTACAGGCAAGTTGTGGGTTCAGGTCCTTTCTGCAGATACTGCTGTTGTACCTTGGGTGAGGTGCTCTTCCCCAGTTGCTCCAGTCCACCCAGTTGTATAAGAGTCATCCAGCAGTGCTGGGGGTCTGGTATCCCATGTTGTGCCGCAGTGCTTCTGGGGTGGACTTTCTTTTTCACTTTAGTCTCACTCAAGGGGCTTCACTCAGATTGCTGCACTAAATGCCCTGTTGTTAATTAAGTTTATAGGTCAGCATTAAATTTAAAAAAAATGTCCTAAACTGATTGAACTGGTTAAATGAAAAACATTGTATGAAACTTTTTACACATGTATAATTCATCTATTGACCAGGATTTGTTGGTGCGTTACGAGCTGTGTTACCGTTTTCACATCAACACATTTTTAATTTTGTTTTGTTTGCCACATTTTTCAGTGTCCAGTAAATATAATGGCATGTTTCTTTCCCCAGTATGTTGTACTGGAGGGGTAAGTGGGCATTTGCCTTGACCGTGGCCGTGTGAGAGTGTTTTGTTTTTAATCTTTGGGACACACTTTCCATTTGGATATTGTGTGAGTCACCAGCAGTTGAAACTGTTGCTATGGTAACAGATGCAGAAATTGTTGTGGAACTGGAAAGACCAAGGTTGGACAACTCCCTCCTCCACTCTCAAGCATTATTGCGACCGTTGCTGTAAGGAGCGAGGTGGCAGGGAGCAGAGAGCACTGCCTCCGGCACTGGGTAGCAGGGCTGTGTGGGAGCGTTGTGGGGGTTTGACGCCTGGGGAGCCACGCCTGCTGGATTTCACTCCGGCCCAGCTCTTACTTGCTCCATTGAGTACTGAAGTGCAGTAACATGCTTATTCGTTTGATTGGAACCCATTCAGGTTTTTTATTTTCTTCCCGGACGTTAGAGATATTAAGTTACTAATGAAACACCATAGTTCCTGTGTGTTTGGGACTGGAAGCGGTTTGTTTTTTGGTTTCTGTAGCTGAGGGCACAGCTGTGATGAAAAGCTGCAGGTCTGTGGAGGCTTCCAGGACCAGTGCTGAGAGCCCCTGGTATCCTGTCTATCGCAGTGCTGTGACACAACTGGCCCAGCAGACACTGAAGAGATCGGCTGCCAGTATTGAACAGGGGCTTTCGTCGCAGTTCCGGGGTTTTCTGGTGTTCAGTCCAGCTGAGCTCTCCGTTGCTTCGTTCACGTGCCAGTGTCAGTCGGAACTTGTTTCCCCAGACTGCTGTGATTTGAAAAGTATAAATAATGAAAGGGCTGGGTAGAAGAAACACTTTTTGTCAGAGATACCAGGACACCCA